GCCTTTGTCACTGTTTTGCTTTATACTTATAATCAAAAGCACCATGCACCTAGCTATTGGTACACTATTGTAACCACTACTGTCTTGCTTCCAGTTGTAATTGCATTATGCACATAGTGTCATGTGACCTCTTTTACATTTTACCTGTTATGATACACAACAGCTGTATATGCTTCTTTCGAAAATTCAGCACAGCTGGATTTCCCAAATATTACCTGCAAAAGGAAATAAAACAAGACAATTTAACATTGCTTTTGAGTTCTAGAAGTTAGGCTAAGAGCCAAGAGCCTTTACCAACATCAGTGAAATGTCGGTCAATTTTGCCAAGGCAAAATGAACACCAGAACCTCTACTGGTAAGACTACATTTTATATAATTATGATGCACGTCAGTTTAAACAATGATTACAAATGGAAAACGGGCAGGAGGTGATTTGGCTGGAATGATGGTTGCTACAATTTCATGAGAGAGGCGATTCCATTTCTCTGCTGCACATTAAGCAATGTTGGTTGTATGAGCATCGTAGAAAAGAAATGGCAAGAACTACATAAGCACAAGCCCAAACGCACCATGAAGTTTGAAAGGTTAGATTAGGCTTGCGATCATGATTAGGCTCATGATTATGGCTATCCAGAAAAGAGTTTTCTCAGCAATGGCCACTCAATTGTGAGACTGTCCAGTTGAGGGTCCTTTACAATGTATAAAAGACCTTTGAAGACAGCTCTTTCCTCACCAGCTGTTAGTGGGTAACATTATCTTGAGGATTTTGTGCTGTGGGTCCTTGGATTTTAATGCTGCTTTTCTCATTTGAAATGCATGGAGCATTTTTTTCTCCAATTCTTATCTTTTATTTGTATATTCTAATGTGTGTAAACAATCTTAGATGCTGTGGAAGCCACTTTGTAGAGAAGACTTCTGAAAAAGTGGGGTATAAATTTATTCAATTAGTAAATAAATTGGAGGACACAAGATGTCATAAAATAACATGTCATGAATATTTAAATTTAATATGAACTGTGCTCTATTCTTGCTGGGTAGAAAGGGTAGGAAGCAACATTGAGTCCAAAGCAGACTACTCAGGCTAGATCTACAGAACGCCACATGTAGCATGCATCCAACACCTGAAAAACAATTGGGGCACAAAAGTCAAAAGCAAACGCACACACACACACACACACACACACACACCATACCGGCATTGCGTTACTTGGATCCTCTCCAAACATAAATTGGACTTTTACAGTGATATTCCGAGCAGATCCTTGACGGTTGGCAAAGTTAAGGCTTTGAGGATAGACATACAGAAGGTTTCTGTAAAAAATAAATGAATATTACATAATGGTACTGCATCATACAACAATGAAGATATACCAAAGTGTCTTGGGCATCAGTTATAAACTTTGGAGCAATGTAGCAGTGTGTTGTGTGAGGCCAACGATGCACATTACTGCATCTTTTCTGCCTGCTTTCTTACACTTCTGAAACATAAAAAATGCAAAGAGAAATAATGTAAGAGAAGTAGCCTGCAAACAGCAAGGGAAAACGAGAGTCAGAATGCATTATTTCTCAATATATCTTTGCCCATTTTGACATGACGCGTCTAAGTTTTACCATTTGGCTTTTCACAAACTCCCAAACACAAAACATCACTGAGTCACTTGCTACAGATCCTCCACCAATGGTTTGGCATATACCATATTCCAGGCATAGGCAAACTCAGCCCTCCAGATGTTTTGGGACTACAACTTCCATCATCCCTAGCTAACAGGACCAGTGGTCAGGGATGTTGGGAGTTGTAGTCCCAAAACATCTGGAGGGCCGAGTTTGCCTACGCCTGCCATATTCCATATTCCACTGAGCCACAACTTCCCTGACTCACCACGACACTCCATTCTCAATGGGTTGCTTCCAAAGGCTCCTATTCTCCAAATAGACAGAATCTCCCTCTGTCAGAGGAAGGAACCTTCTGTTGTCAGTAGCAGATATACCTTCGAATCAAACCCAATAGACTTTGCATTGTTCTTGTGCTACACAGAATGGTGGACTATAGAGCCACATTATCTTTCTGCATTCCATACACTGCAGCAAGCTGAAGTGAGCAGATAGGGCATTCTTTCTGTTTCAAAGGAAGACCTTCATGCTGAATTAAGCGCCGGAATTTCATCCCCATTGGTCATCTGGCTTAATCAATGTTCTCTTTATTATTTCTGCAGGCGGCTGCTGAAATACTTCTTTTCCCCCCTTTTTTGTGGCTCTCCTAAATTACCTCATTCTGGCATGAATACATTTGCTCCTCAACGTGCTTTTTCAAATAAAAATGGATATGAAAATTTACTTTAAAATGTACTTTTCTCATAAAACTTTCATTAAGTGTTATTAGTAGCTTAAGAGAGGGATTTAAATGTATTTGCGAAGCCAAGCTGTGTGATCCCTATATTAAGAACAGTGTTCTTCTGGGGACTCATATTGGTACTGGCCATTTAAAAAAAAGGACTTATGCCCTTTGCACTCTTCTTTGGTGATATTTTCTCTTAAGTACAGGTGAGGAACCTTTCAATCCAAAGCGAAACTGTTTCGGTTAGAAGGTTAAAAGTTTCTCCTTCTGTTCAACATGCATCTATTTGCTTTAAAAAGCTCAGCAAATAGAATCCTGCCCTGGGGTTGACAGTGTTGCAAGAGGAAAAGAAACGAAGAGTTAAAACCCCACAACTTGCATCCAATAGGACAAACTTTCTCGTGACGATCCTGGAAGTGATCCTCTTTCTTCCTTGTCTTTGCAATGAATTATCTCTTTAAAACCCTACACTCCTCATATAGCATTCTGCCAGTGCATGGTATATTTTGTCATAGGTATGACCTTCTTATAGTGTACTCCTACGCATGAACTTTTCAGAGCCTTATAAATCCCTTACAGCTTTATATCCCCTTTGGGGTTCAATGGTGTCCTAAAGCAGTGTTTCCCAACCTTTTTTGGGCAAAGGCACACTTGTTTCATGAAAAAAATCTCGAGGCACACCACCATGCCAGATGGGGAAAGGTCACTTTTTACTTATGTAAAAAAAAAATAAAAAAATAGTAACAGCATAGAAGGTAATGGTTATCTCTTTGATGTCTGATGGGAGGGCATTCCACAGGGCGGGCACCACTACCGAGAAGGCCCTCTGCCTGGTTCCCTGTAACCTCACTTTTCACAGTGAGGGAATTGCCAGAAGGCCCTTGGCACTGGATCTCAGTGTCTGGGCTGAACGATGGTGGCGGAGACGCTACTTCAGGTATACTGGACCGAAACCGCTTAGGGCTTTAAAGGTCAGCACCAACACTTTGAATTGTGCTCGGAAAGGTACTGGGAGCCAATGTAGGTCTTTCAAGACAGTCGTTACGTGGTCTCGGCGGCAGGTAGCAGCGCTCACAGCTTACGGACTGCACCGTGTAACAGGTGTCTGGCCCAGCAGCCTAAGGCAGACAAGCCACTGAAACAGGCATTCAGAATCCATTCATTTCATAAAACCTGCAGGGCTCAATCTCTGTGTTTGTGTATGTGTGTGTTTCTGTTTTGCCCAAGGGTCTGGGGGTGGGAGAGAGCTCTTTAGCATGATGCTTTTAAAACAATTAAATTATCAACAAACAAACCTGATGATACGAATAGCAACGTCAGGTGCTACCGGGGGGGGGGAGAAGGGGGCCTACTCGGAAGTAAATACTGCGTCCAGGCGCAATTAGCGCTGATTTAAGGTGCACCAAGACTGCCTAAAAACCTCACCAAAGATATGCAACAAAGCGCTTCGTTGCAGAGGGGAGAGTTTGTGCACTGTGGAGGCTGGAGGGCTTCTATTCTACATGCAGGGGTTGGGGGGCGAGGAAAATGTGCTCCGTGGGGGGGCGGGGAAGGCAAGAAAAGGAGCTGAGCTCTAACTATAGGCTCCCACGCTTGAGCACGCCCGACTCGGTGGGGCGGACCACCCTCTCTCCTGGAGGAGGAGGAGGAAGAGGAGGAGGAGATTCCCATCCACGGCGTGGCCTCCCGCGCTCCTGAACGGGAAATCTCTGCAGCCCAAGACTCTCCGCGAGGCAGCTCCTCCCTTCCTGCCTTGAGCCGCCGCCAGCCGCGCCCCCCTCCCCAGTTATCTGCTGCCTGCCAAGCCCCGCCCCTCTTCATTGTCCTCCCCTTCTGTTTATTCCCCTTCCTCCATCCCTCGCTTTTTCCCTCTCTTTCCTTTTTTTAAAAAAATATTTTCTCTTCCCCTTCTTTTTTTCCACCCTTTCTTTTTTCTCTTTCTCCCCCCCTCCCCGCCCTCCTGGGTTAAAGGATTTGAGCAATGGGTCTGGAGGTGGAGCTCGTCGGAGGATTAGCCCGACTCGCCCGCCTCCCTCCCACGGCACACTAGGCAACGTCCGGTGGCACACTAGTGTGCCGCGGAACACCGGTTGGGAAACACTGTCCTAAAGTATGGAGGAAATCACTTCTGCTTGAACAACATGGTGGCCCCCTTCCTAATTTGCATATATGCTCCCTTTTCAGCCTTTACTATGATCCACACGGATGCCAACCACCAAGAAGGAATGATGGGCCAAGCAAGGAGAGATCAGTAGTCCCAGGCTCCCCAGGCAGCCAGGGCAAAAGAAGGCTATGCACCGTTGAAGGAGATCAAGGTGGAGGTTCAGTACCATGCTCAGTACTCCTGTAGCTGAGGCCAAAACATACAAGTTGTCTCAGCAAGGTCCTTGAGCAACTGGTCAAATTTTATAGGAGGGCTAGGTAGTCATTGACTAGAAGCCTCATCACTTAAGTACTGCCTGCAGCTGATCTCTCCTCACAGCTGATCAAAAAAAAGTCCCTGTCATAAATGGCTAGTCAGGTTGGTCTGTTTGTTTCGATGTCCAAAAAGCCTAACAAGGACACAGGTTACACTCATTTAAGTTTAATGATCAACTACCTCAACTTGACTTTTCAGGTCTGAGCAGCATATATTTATAGGCAAACTAAGTTGCAAGGACTATCACATAGCAAGGCTAACAGCAGCTTGGAAAAGCTTTTCTTTTCCAAAGGCTATCATAAGCAGAAAGAAAATGAAAATAATACTAGTATTACTCTTCGTAATTTCTCTAGTTGTTGCAACAAGAATAGATGGAGATGAGTTTTCCTTTGTTCCAGAATCTCCTGAGCCAAGGTTTGCTATGCTACATGATGTGCAATTACTAGCCAACGGGCTGCTCCAGCTTGGGCGTGGCCTTAAAGATTTTGCCATCAAGACCAAAGGCCAAATGGATGACATCTTTCAGAAACTTCACCTTTTTGATCAATCTTTTAATGAGATCTCGAAACAAGCCAATGAGATAAAAGAAGACGAGGAACAGCTAAAAAACACTACTTCTATGTTGCAAGTCAATAACGAAGAGATAAGGAACATATCTGTGGAGCTGAATTCCAAGATAGAAATACTTTCACGGGAGAAGATTCAACTTCAGGATAAAGTAGGGAAGCTGGAAGAAAAAATAACCAAATTGTTTCAGACCCAGATTGAAAATCAGGAGCCCGAAGAAATTGCATCACTTAAAGTAAGTAGCAGGTATGGAATAGATTTAATATTTCCAAAGTTACCTGAAATGGTTTCCAGGCTACTAATGGAATCCAAAGCTCCAAAGTCAATTATGACCTTGTTGCACTAATATCAGTGATGTAAAATATAGTTTACCTAGTGGCTGTTTCATACAGTTTTGCTTTGTTTCCTGTGATAAGTAAAATTAAGATGCTAAAATGTTTTTAAAAATTAAGATGCTAAATTAGATCACTCTTTGGAGAAGGAATAGCCAAAAATTCCTTTGCAAATCAAGTCAATTTGTGTTCAAGTACAAGTGTATTGGAAAGTACAGTACTGTACAGTATAGGAAAATGTTCTAATGCCTTAGAGCAGTACTCTCCAGATGTTGCTAGACATTACCTTGACTACTGGCTATGCTTGCTGGGGCTGATGGCAGTTAGGAGACCAACAATATCTGCAGGCACCATGTTGGATACCCCTGCTATGATGATAATAATTTTATTATTTATACCCCGCCCATCTGGCTGGGTTTTCCAGTGCAAACATTTCTAGGAAAGCCACATCACTGCATTTTGAGGAATGAAATGAACGTAGTTATCAAGAAAGTAACAACTGGTTCTCTACTGTAAATTTGTTCCTAAATGTTTGTTGTGCATTTATGTAAAATGTATCCTGTGGTACAAGGATACTTCATGACTTTTTCTTCTTTAATTAGTTTTTTGGAGGAGGATAGTTTTGGATCAACAGCAAACTGCACGGAATATCTAGGGAACTAAACAATGGCTCACGTATGCTCTGTGCTTTACCAAAAAGCAACCAGAATGAGATGAATTATTTTAACAAAAGCCAGGGATGGTCAGTGTTCTAAACATGTAAGCCACATGCTTTTGCGCCTAGAAATTTTTTTCTGGACAGTCCATAAAGGAAGATAATCAGAGTACCCTGGGTGGCTGGAACCGCTTCCCTTTCATAACGTAAGACTATGACATAGGAAAGCCTCATTTATTTTTAAATATTGTACTTTTCACAGCTTGTCCTTACAAAATTTAAAAGACTGCTGCTTTAAAAATAATAATTCCACAATCAACACAACGAGTAACTCAGCTGCAACTGATAATGTATCAACCAAGTGCCAAAAGCAACATCAGCAAAGCGGCAAAAGATCATGAAATAATTTAAGCAAAAAGCCTAGAAAAATGAAATGGTGTTCAGCTGCTGCCCAAACAATAAAAGCACAAGCACAAAGCATACATTTTGGGGGCAGGATGTCTCCAAGATATGGCAAAACTACTAAGAGCAGTTGGAGCAGGGGGCTCTCTGATGACAGTTCACTGAGTAACTTTGTACAAGATGGTCAGGTTTGTATGAGTTGTTGTTGTTGCTGAAGTAGAAGGAAATGGCTTATGAATTCAGCCAGCCAGCCAGGGGAAAGGAAATAGAAGGCAATCAGGACTCAAAGGGTAGGAATGAATTAAGAGTTTCTCCATGATGGCCAGCAGTGGTGTACACACCAGTACGAGAAGGGTGCATCAGGTGGATTCTCAAAGACTGAATTCCTTAAACTTCCCTTTGGATATCAAAGGTCCTTTCCAGCAAAATGACTGCTTTTTTAGGGGGTGAGATGAGGTGGGATTCCAAAACAGATAATAAAAGCAAGTCCCAGACAGCAGCTTTGCTTCAGTTCCAAGAAACCAGCTCTTAATCCATTGCTTTTTTAGGGCAGAGTACAGGATCCATAGATTATGAAGCAAAACAGGATTGTTGCATGATTTGACTATACAAAACCATCCCTCCAAATAAGATTGAGGATATACCTTCTACTTCTGTTTAGCATGGTAAGACAACAGCCTTTGGTGAAATTGGCTTGCACTGAGAGGTGCCCTTCTCCTAGCAGAAAGCCTCCTGCAAGGACCCTAAATCCAAAGAAGCTCTTCTATCAGCAATATTTTAGACAAAATCTCTTCTTGTAGCCTACTAGAGCACATATGGGACGTGGGTGATACTGTGGTCTAAACCACAGAGCCCAGGGCTTGCCGATCGGAAGGTCGGCGGTTCGAATCCCTGCAACGGGGTGAGCTCCCATTGCTCGGGCCCAGCTCCTACCCACCTAGCAGTTCGAAAGCACGTAAAGTGCAAGTAGATAAATAGGTACCGCTCTGGTGGGAAGGTAAACGGCGTTTCCGTGCGCTGCTCTGGTTCGCAGCTTAGTCATGCCGGCCACATGACCCGGAAGCTGTCTGCGAACAAACACTGGCTCCCTCGGCCTACAGAGCGAGATGAGCGCACAACCCCAGAGTCATCTGCAATGGGCCTAATGGTCAGGGGTACCTTTACCTTTAGAGCACATATACTACAAATCCAAATCAGGGGTGGAAAACCTGCGACCCTTCAGATGTTGGTGAACTTACTCACCAACCGCTTTGAGGGGTTTTTCTACAATAAAGCAGTATATACATTTTATGAAATAAACTCCAACATCCCCCAGCCACAGCCAGCATGGCTGATGCAAGTTGTAGTCCACCAAAATCTGGAAGGCCACAAAATCCCTATCCCTGGCCTGGATCCTCTGTACTCTGCATATTTCTCATGCTGTAAAACACTGACTCCACACTGAAACACATCAGCCAGAGCTTGATCAAGAGTTCATGGACCTGCACTATTAAATTTTCTCCTTCTGCTTCATGGTCCTTTGAAACCAAGCCACTGTTTATGCTCTCCCTGCAGAACTTCGTCGAGCAGCAGGACAACCACCTCAGATCCCTTCTCAAAAGAGTTCAAGCGCAGCATGTTCAAATTGGCAAACAACAAGAACAAATAGAAGACCTGGAAGAGAAGGTAACATTGCTGCTTTACCAATGACCTCCTCCAAATCAGGGCAGTCTTTTCAGGGATATTAGGTGAGTTTTGAGACAGCTGGGAACTGAGAAAAGAGGTAAAGGGTGCAGAAATTGGGAGAAATAAAGAACTGATGGAAAAAGTACAAACTACTGAATAAATAGCAAAGTGGACAGGGAATAACTCATCTTACACAATGATTTAATAATTTCAATACATTTCCATCATGCTCTAAGATAATTTGTGGACACTATGTGTCTTCGCTATGTATTCCCAATGTAGCTCCAGGATGGAATGGAAAAATAACATTTCCTTGTTGTATTTCAACTTGAAAAATTCCGAAAACATTTCCTTCAGCTAACCAATCTTTACCACTCTTGTGGTAAAAGAAATTGGGCATGCCCACACAAGACTGTAGAAAAGATATTGGGGGAGGGTGAATCGTTCCGCAAGTTCTCTTGAGAGTTCTTGCCATCAAGGAATGCATTGAAAATCAATTAATGCGTTCCTAGGGAAACCGACTTCAGACCAGGTCCGGGGACAGTCTGTCCCCCGACCTCTTCTGAAGGCTGGGGGGGGGACAAGGGCTTTTCTTCCCACCCCCAGCATTTTAAAAAACCCCGGGACAGCGGAGGGCTTCTCCGCTGTCCGGGGCGATCTTTGAATGCTGGCGGGCGGCATTTTAAAATCGCCCCGGGGCGATTTAAAAGCCCTGGGAAGGCAGGCAGGGGGGACAAAGACTTTTGCCCCCCGCCAGCCTTCAGAAGAGGTCCTGGACCTCTTCTGAAGGCTGGCGGGGGCGAAAGTCTTTGCTCCCCCCGCCTGCCTTCAAAAGCTGTCCGGCCAAGGCTTCGCGGACCTCTCCGCAAGCAGCAGCAGCACTGCCGCTGCTGGCGGAGAGTTGCCGGCATGCCGAAGCCTGCGCGCGCTGACATCAGCGCGTCCAGGCTTCGCGGATCTCTCCACAAGCAGCGGGAACGTTCCCGCTGCTTGGGGAGAGTTGCCGGCATCCTGAAGCCTGCGCGCGCTGATCTCAGCGCGTCCAGGCTTCGCGGATCTCTCCCCAAGCAGCGGGAACGTTCCCGCTGCTTGGGGAGAGTTGCCGGCATCCCGAAGCCTGCGCGCGCTGATCTCAGCGCGTCCAGGCTTCGCGGATCTCTCCACAAGCAGCGGGAACGTTCCCGCTGCTGACATCAGCGCGCCCAGGCTTCGCGGATCTCTCCTGCCTTCAAAAGCCGTCCGGGATAGCGGGAAGCGCTTCCCTGCTATCCCGGACTGCTTTTAAAATGCTGGCGCTGGGGAGCAAAGCCTTTCGGCCCCCGCCAGCCTTCCTGGACCTCTTCTGAAGGCCGGAGGGGGGGGGGAAGGCTTTGCTCCCCACCGCTAGCATTTAAAAGAGGTCCCCGGAGATTTCCCTATGGGCTTTCGTCTTGCGAAGCAAGCCCATAGGGAAATTCGTTTTGCGAAGCGCCTCCAAAACGAAAACCTTTGGGTTTCCGTTGATCGTTGGGGTATTGGGGGGGGGAATGCTTCATTCTCAGGAATTCTCTTGTAAAGATAAGAGGTCTCTGCCATCAGTAAACCACTTCTCCCCATTTTGTTATCGCAATATACCTGAGGTCCAAAATATCAGTAGATGAATGATGAACTTTACTAACAAAAAACAGACTAATAATAATAATAATAATTCTCTGTCTCCCCAGCTAAGCAGCCCTGGTTTTCAAGACAACACACAGACTTTATTCCCCTTGAGAGAAGAAAATGAAACAAGGCAAACTAAACGTAATACAACAGCTAAAGTTCAAGATTACAAAGGTAACTGCCCCTGTGGAAGAAGAAGGAAACAAGTAATCCTTGTGTACACCGTCATCTGTGAATACTGTTCTAGTATACATTTTTCTATGGGTAATACATCTTTGAATGCCACACTGTTAAATTCTCTTTATTACTGTTGTTGGAAAAACAAGTGTGGCCTTCCACAACATGTTGCAGTGTATCCTCCCTCTGAAAAAGGAAAGCTCCTATTCAGGCTTCCAGTCATCCATTCCCTACAAGTAGGACATTCTACTCTTTCTCCTCCCCACTCCCTGCTCAATTAATTTTTCAACTGTCGCTGTTCATTCTGTTGTTAACGAACATGCTCATTTGGCTGCTTTGATGGAGTTTGTCCATTTAGGGTTGTTTTATTTTTTAAAAGCTTATTTCTGCAAGCCACAAGTTTTCCCCAAGCATGCCAATACTTCCTTCTTGTTTCTCAGCGGCCATTTTGGCTACCATTTTGTCAGCACTCACCAACTGGATGGGATAATATGACATATTAAAAATAATAATCTAAAGAAGAATGGGAACCCTTTACAAAGTACTTAAAGAAACAACAAAATGAACTGGACACCTTGGCAGGTTTTGAATAAACATTCACAAACCTTTTACTGGTAATATATAGATAGATAAATTAAGGATATTTACAATTTTATAACATGCGGAGAATAACATGTGCTGAAAAACCAGAGAGAGGAGCTGAGAGAAGTCCGGGGGGAGGGGGGTTTCCTTTTTGGGGAGGGGGGAGGGAAAAAATGGGGGTGGTGAATGAGGATGATGTATTTTTGATAAAATGTTATGTTGAAATTCCTAATAAAATATTCAAAAAAATAATTATAAAAAAACAATCAAAGGAATGATTCACAGCATTCTTTAATACAATATCATCACCCAAGTCCCTGCCACAATACTGAGTGCATTTCAGTGTGCCTTAAACTCACCCCGAACGACTTTAGTCATGCATTTGTAACTTTTAAAACCTTGTTGTTCTTAGGAAATGCTACTGATTGCATGTGGATATACAGCAGAGGTGAAAGATCTAGTGGCATTTATTCTATTAAGCCCAGAGGATCCGAGGCTTTTAATGTCTACTGTGAAATCAAAGCAGGTAAGTCCAGCTACACCAGGGGCCATCTACTTCTCCTGCTAAAAATCATTATGGACTTCATTTTCTGCCCTGAATGATGTTAAGCGTTCCATTAGTGAAACATAGGAAGTTACCTTATATTGAGTCAGACGATTGGCCCATCTAGCTCAGTATCAGTTTAACTATAGTTGGTCAATAGTTAACTAGGATTACCAAATAAAAAAATGGTGCAGTCAGTAGGATCAATTATTTATGTTCCAACTGGGTCAGATGAGGATGCCACGACTAAACAATCATCACAACTAAACCTCTTCCAGCAGTGGACAAATGGCATGGACAACTTTCACACCCATGCATGAAAATTCCCATGGGAGTAAATTCAATGAATACTTTACAAATATTGTGTGTGCGCGCATGGGCACACCTGCTTTTTTCTATATTTAACTGCATTAAAAAGCATTCATGGGGGGCACAATATGAACTGGGCCTATGTTTGCTGCAGTCCAAAACTAAGGGGTGGCAATAAAGCAGGTAATATTTATAGTTTATTTATCTTTTTTCATACACAGAAAGTGCATGGACAGTTATTCAAAACAGATCTGATGGATCACTAGATTTCAACCAAACCTGGGAGAACTATATGAATGGATTCGGCAACCTGGATGGTAAATACATTCTCTTACATTTCCCTAAATAAGTATTTTTATGTGCTAAAATAGTAGTTGACTGTGGTTTATGCAAACATCAACACATTAAAGTAAGTGAAAAATACCTATGGGAGAATAAGGGATGATTGCTATCTTGGGCGTGTTTTAAACAGGTTAGCTTTCTTCACCCCCATTGTTTTGGTATGAATTGGTGCACAGTGAAGGAGAAGGAGGCACTTTTTAGGTGTCTAAAATAGTGTATTAAAGTACTAAAGATCTGTAAACATAGCAATGCAGACAAAAAGATATTTCTATATCTCAATGTTTTTTGCGGAAAATATTGGACCAAATGAGTCCAGAAAATACTCAAGAACCCTTACAGCATATTAGAATTAAACTTCATAATATACAGTAGAAAAGTTGCCATGTAGTGACTGATACAACAGGCAGTTTTCATGCATATCACACAATGAATAGCACTGGGTCAACATAAAGCTCAATGGGTTTCCACTGAAACAAAATCCTGGTTTCTAAACTTAACCAGCCAATCATCCCATCAGAGGACCAGGCAGAAAGAAACCACCCTTATTTGCACTGGTTAATCATCCACTTGGGACACCAAGGTGCAGGCTAACAGACACATCATCCAGCACACTTTGCTAAAGGTATGTTCCAAGCTGCTTCTACAGAGGTGCTAAAGGGGTGCAAGAATTGAAGTGGCAACCCTGTTTGGCCACCAGGACAGGGAGCAACATATATTAGCAATTATCCTGTAATCACTTAGTGAAGTCCTGAAATATTTTGGTCCATAAGTAGTTTGATTGGCTTCATTATCATTACTCGCAAAACCGTAATTTCAAGACTGCAAAGTCAATTTTATACACCTAGAACTGGACTAAACTAACCTGGTGCACTAGTGGAAGCCAGTGAAAGAACTCATGGTGCAATGGGCCCCCTCCTCCTCCTCAATCTGCTGGGGGGGGGGTCAGGAGAAGTCCCAGAATAGTGTGCAAGCAGAGGAGAGGGGAGATTCTGCCTGGAATGCAGAAATGTTTGCACTTACAGAACAGTTGTAATAGCATGGTCTTCAATTCCACCCCTAGCATCTAGGGATGTCTCAAAACATCTATTCTTCTATTACTTACATGAAGTTGAATAATACAGAGTCAAATCACTGGCCCATCCAGCAATGGCTCTTCAAGATCTCAGGCAAAGAGCCATTTCCTACTATTGCCATCCAAGATCCTTGTTACTAAAAACTGCTGGGGACTGAACTCAGGATGTTAGACATGCTAAGGAAATGCTGTTATCAGTAAATTATGGGGTTTTCTAGCTGTTATTTGATATGTAAAGCAGACATGTCTAACATCAAAGACTCTCTTCTTAAACCAGACTGTATTGGATTCCGACCAAATGTTACTGGATTCCAACTCCCATCAGTCCCAGACATCATCCAGCAACATCTGGCGGGCCAGGGGTTTCCCACCCCTGCCCTAAAATTCATTACTTAGAAAATATTTCCACAAAATGTGGCCCACCATGAGTTTGATGGTTTGCAGTTCACTTGAACTCATGGACAGTTTGTTCCAAAGAGAGGTAGGGGAAATCCAAATAAATTTAGCATATGCAAAAATGTCTGAACGATCACAAGGTCTTCTTAAGGAAAAACTGCACATGTAGATTAGCTCAAAAAGTCGTTAAGTGCCATCTCCCCATTTCCTCCCAGCTGGGACCTGTGTTATATAATTTGCATTGAAGACACAAACAAGCTCTGTGCAATTTCATTTCCTCCTAACAGCTACAAATTGTTTTGGCATTCCCATAGCTTGTTACGGGTATTTTCAGTCCTTCTTATATTAATTGGAAACTATGGTAGCTCCATTTATGACATGAGATTGGATTGTCTATGACTCTATGCTGTATGAAAGTCCCCGCAACAATATTGTTCTCAATATGATATTTTGCATTTTTTGTTTTTACAATAATGGTCTTCATTAAAAAATACTGCCCCCTAAATAACGCTCAAGCACCTAGTTCACATGACACAGGAAGCCAAGCTGTGGTTCAAGAGTGAATCTTCCTTTTTTAAAAAAAGAGTTCATAAGGTGAAGTTTTCAATACTTTTGAAATCGGAGCTTTAAGAAGCGCTGACTTGGGGAGAAAGTTGATAATTCTTTCCCACAGCAGCAAAATCAAAGTTGAAACTGAGATTTCATCATTACATTGTATAAAGTTTGCCTGGTGGTGAAATCTGAAACATAAATGCAAAATCACATGTTTATTTTAAAAGGGTACGTTTTATCGTTTCTGCTATTTCTTGTTCAAATGTCCTCTCATTTACCTTTGCCAACTTGGAATGACTCCATTGGCCCAACATTAGTGAAAAAATGCCTTAATGTAGTTATTCTGGAAAAAAGGTAGAAGAAAATACGACTATTTTTTTAAAGTAGAATCCAATGTACAGTTACTTCTAAGAAAACATGCTTAGTTTTGCACTCCATGTAATTCACTTAGAATGTTCAATTTAAATGTGCTGTGGTAAATGACACTACCTAAACGCCTATTAAGAGTGCACTCCTTTCTCATGGCTGACACTCCATTTCCATTGCAATTAAATTTTATATATGCCACTCGCTTCCCTTATCAGAGAGATTCATTCACACACTTTTGTTAAGTATGCCTTGCATTATCCCTGGCAGACTCTGGCAAGCTGCAAAGTTCCATTCCGTTCATATTTAGTTTTAGTTTCCTGTTTTAATTGATCATTAGTGCATAATCTAAAAGTTGTAAACAAAAAAGAGATATCTCCAAGAGAGATTATCTGAAAAGTTCAAGGGTTCCCAAGACTCAGGTTGTCTGCTTAATTAACCGAATTAGTAACTCTAACTTGCTTATGTCTTGCCATCAGCCTACCCTAATAGTTCGGTCTGTGCAACTTGTATTTTCAGGAGAATTTTGGCTGGGCCTACAAAAGATCTATTCCATTGTAAACCAAGGTGACCACATCCTGCGTATTGAGCTGGAAGACTCAAGAGCTAACCAACGTTATATTGAATACACATTCACCATGGGAGGTTCAGAAACAGACTACACTGCTCTTCTCTCCAGGATTACTGGGAATATCCCTAATGTTCTGCCTGAACAGAAAGAAGTGAAGTTCTCTACAAAAGATCACAACAGCAACACTGAAAGAAAAGTCAACTGTCCAGAAAACAATTCAGGTAGTCTTTTTTGTACAAGCTGCTGCTTTAGTTTTTCTCATAAATCGGGGGGGGGGGGGAATACATTGTGGAAGATATAGCTGAAACTTTGTCTACAAAACTTATATATTCCCTGTTCTGAAAAATGAAGCATTAGGAACCAGAAGCAAATTCTGAAGAACAACTGGGTATGTTGGGTGAGGCACTGCACATCTGAGTGGTCTATCATGTTTAGAAACAAACTTATCTGCACTCAGAAAGCTAGCATGTCATAGACACTATACCTTTTTTGCCTCAATATGGTATTTTATAAATGTATATTTAATATAGAGGAGTATCCAGTTGTGTCAAGGGGACGTGGGTGGCGCTGTGGGTAAAACCTCAATGCCTAGGACTTGCCGATCGCATGGTCGGCGGTTCGAATCCCTGTGGCGGGGTGCGCTCCCGTCAGTTCGGTCCCAGCGCCTGCCAACCTAGCAGTTCAAAAGCACCCCCGGGTGCAAGTAGATAAATAGGGACCGCTTACCAGTGGGAAGGTAAACGGCGTTCCATGTGCTGCGCTGGCTCGCCAGATGCAGCTTGTCACGCTGGCCACGTGACCCAGAAGTGTCTGCGGACAGCGCTGGCTCCCGGCCTATAGAGTGAGATGAGCGCACAACCCTAGAGTCTGGCAAGACTGGCCTGTACGGGCAGGGGTACCTTTACCTTTTTATCCAGTTGTGTAATTTTCCACATGCATTCTGTACTATCTTGGAAGGCTACATCTCATCAATCTCTGAACATGTGAATCACCCTCTAGAGCAGGGATGGATAAGCTGTGGCCCTCCAGATGTTGGTGTAACTCCCATCCTCTCTATTGGCCATGCTGGCTGGGGCTGCTGGGTGTTGGAGACCAACAACATCTGCAGTGGCACGGGTTCCCCCATCCTTGCTCTAGAGTTTCTCTCCCATATATTTCTAGTCCCTAACTGAACATCAGGCAGAACTTTAGGAAACAGAAATAGAACTAAAAAGTGAAGTGATCTGGCAAAAATCTAAAAAGAGAGAGCATAGCACACAGGAATAACAAACTGGTGATATGATTTCCTGTAGAGCACCTCTAAGTAAATCCACAAGAAGTGCTGGTGTTCTATACACTTTCTCCTTAAACCGGGCAAAAACGTTATTCTGAAATTCCCTTTTCTGCCCCCTCCAATGTGGAAAATTCAAATTTGCAGCATGAATCAGTAAGTTATTTTAATTCATTTGCAGTTCAATCCTATTTATTTTACTTTCTCTAATAAATGTAGATAACTATGAAACCGTATAAAGTTCACTTCTGAGCGTCAGTTTTACAGAGAATATAAGTGTTTGAGATAGATAGGAGTGCTGTGGGGGGTTTTAAATCTGACACTGGGTAATTAAGTTAAAACAGAATGAGTTCTTTTTTAAAAAAGAGAGGTGGCGGTAGGGGCCATTGTATGCAGAATATACCAGGTTCAATCCCTGGCATTTCCAGGTAGAGCTGAGAATATCTTCTACTGAAACGCTGGAGAGGCAATGCCAAAGTAGACAACTCAGCATAGGACAGCTTCCTATGTTCCTAGAGAGAGGGGTGGTGGAAATTGAGGATTTGTGACCCAATCTGGAGGATGTGATGACAAGCTTCATAGATGTACATTTCTTCCGAGTTCCCTTCCCTCCTGATAAGCAACTCCTCATACCAGGCAGCTACTGTTGATGCTACCAAGGATTTTGAGAAGTGACATCAAACACGGCATGAGAAGAAATGTGAGAAATCCTCCTCCACACATGGAAGCCACTTCTAGTGCCTAAAGGGGGGGGGTGTCTATGAACCACACCCTTAGTCATTATGATTGTACTACAGTGTTGTCGCTATCAATTAAATGGTGCTTATAATTTCATCTTCAGGTGGTTGGTGGCATACGGCATGTGAAGAAACAAACTTGAATGGAAAATATATCAAGTCAAGTTCAAGAGGAAAACTGGAAAGGAAAAAGAGAGTGCTCTATTGGAAGCCTCAGAAAGGAAGGCCCTATTTTATCAAATCAACCAAACTGATGATACATTCTACAGATTTTGAAAATTTTGACTGAGCATCACCATTTGGAGTCTATCTAATAAAGCACATTATACCTTTGTCAGAGCCAAGTGAAAGCACTTTTCAGTACTCGGGAGAAAGAATTCCATTGTACCTTAATGATATATTTTGTTTCTGTGGCCGCCATATACAAAAAAACCAGTATGGGCAAACGATGGGCAGAGTAATGGAAATGGAGAAATGCAGCCAGTTTTTTAGGATTGTTGCTGGCTCTAGAAACCCACTGCTAGCAAGCTTTCCTTAGCTTTCCTAAGGATAGCTATATCTGAAGATGTTTACCATACCAGTGGGAAGGAAGAAGGGAAGGGAAAAGCTTGCCCCAGGTAGGGCTTGAGCGTCCCTACCTTCCCTCCTTTCTCTCAACAGCAGAACTTGTACTACAGGGGAGTTAGGAGAAGCCAACATTACAGGGAAGAAGCGTGGCAAGGAGAAATCTTAGGGCTGAAAGGAAATATGATGCACAGGACAGCAGCTCACCAGCCTGTATCACCATAGAAGAGAATTCAGTCACTTCATTTTGATGGCAGAAAATAAGCTACTGCTTTCAGGACACATTTAGGGGGCCATAACCTACTACCGTGGATCTCAATGTCACCATAGGCAGGGGGGAAGGCGTTGCCCTTTAGAGGAAAATGTCACTGTTCTCTGTTCACATCAACAGCTTTCATGGATCTCTATGGAATGAAATAAACAGGGTGCAATGCAGTTCACAGCTTAGGGGGAGCAAGACCTGTCTCTCTGAATGAAGGCTGAAGTCGTTTGTATGAAGAAGAACAGACATGCTTTTTACTACACAACACCTGTGACCTACTATAGCTGGTGCACACCTCTACCTATATAAGAGTTTCCACTGAACTGGATGGCACAAAATAAATCGGCTCCATTCTGGATTTCATTCAAGTGAAGTGTAAAAATTGATTCTTGCCTAGTAGCTGCCCCCACCCCAGTGACATAGAAAAGTGCACCCCCTTAGCTTCTCCTCTATAGAAGAATGTCTGCCATTCAACCCTCCAGAATTTAGGACATCACTATGGTGATCGTAGCCTCCCACAATCCCTTGCACTAGCCTCTGCTGAGAGAAGGGAAAGGAAATGACGCCACTTGCACATCAAGCTAAGCCATGTGGACAAGAATCAATGAGCTCGAGCGATGTATTAGGGTTGTGTTCTCCCCTTTCCTCCTACCATGTAGTTGGGAGGTCTTCTGTCAAGTTTGATTTCTCTTTTACATGTTACACTTAATGCATGGCATGCAGCTGTGTCTGTTTCTTCTTCTTCTTCTTCTTCTGAAATCTAGTATTTAACCCATTGAATTTCATTGCTGAAGACACAGTGAAGTATCTCTCACAGCTGCTGTGGAGTACCTCAAATAAAGTGTCATATTGCAAATTTATATTAGATCTGCTGCAGGCCTCAAAGCTTTGAAAATCTTTACGCTGATCCTCTGCTTGGCTCAATGACATTTGCTGAATAAACAAATCTGATATCATTTACATTAGCAAACTCATGACCCATTTCTAATAATAAGGAATTTTTCGCTTTTTAGTAATGTAAAATAAGGATCCACATCCATCACTTTTAGAAATAGATTTCCCTCCTCAGTGGCCCACCACCGCTCCAAGAAAAAGCGAAGTATCTTTCATCCCAGTTATACAACAAGGCCCTCTAAAGATTACATGAGTGTATTATACATATATTATTTGGTAGCACTGTGTCCTTGGGAAGACTTTTACCTGCCTTGATTTATTGCACATTCCCTGATGGTTGGCTGACCACAATTATTATCCCTCTGCCCTAATCCCTAAAAATATACTTAGTTGAAAAGAGACATGGAATTGCCTTCCAAATTCTCTTCCTGATTTGGCATTGAAGTTAATTAAATTTCTCCTTGAGAAACAAGAAATTTGGCCTGTTCCCAGAAGAACAGTCAGGTTTTAGAGAAAGCTGTTTCTGCGATAAAAGAACTTTCAGTTATTCATACGTGATGGCTAAATACAGTTTTCAGAAATATAACTCTTTCCAGCCTTCATCTATTGAATAAAATTAAGTCTCTCAACATAAAACCAAATTTGGGAGAAATCACTTTTCAGCTCAGTTAAGCTGTTGAGGGTTGTTGCTTGTTTGTTTTTTGGCCTAGAGCTTTGTGCTGCAGTAAATCAGATTTGGAGAACCTCTTCGATTCCAACTTCCAATATTGTTAGACTCCCAATTTCCATTGGGCCAGTCAGCATGACCAACTGTCAGGAATAATGTTATGTATTTATATTGGTTCTTGTATTGTAAACCACCCTGTGATCTTTGGATTGAAGGGTGGTATAGAATTATTTATTTTTATTTTTATTATTAATGGAAGCTGAAATCCAACCACATCTGGAGGGCCATAGCTTCCCCATCCCTGCTGTAAATTATGCAGCAAAGCTTTTGGAAGCACGTTAGCTCTGGAGTGGCTTAATAACCTTGGTTACAAAAGGATATCATCCCAATGTAAAGAGACAATTATAGATAACTTCACAGTGCCTAACAAACTGAAGTTCAGTCTTGATTTTTATAGCATCAATAACCAAAACGGATGGTGGCATGCCATGAAACCGTGTGCTTTACCCTGCTCTTATGATATACCTCCATCCAGGCATTCTTGCAAATAGCATCAAACCAGACCAGACCAGGCCATGGAGACATCTCCTATGTGCAAGTGGCTAAATGTGCAAGTGGTTAAATGTGAAGCAGGCCTCAGTTTTCTTATTACAAGCAGTTCCCCAAATGAAAAAAGCTTCTTCAGACTACTCTAGCACTAGATTAGCTAAACAGAAAACAGAAGGACTTCCAAGGAAGGAGTCAGATGATTGTGGAGTGTATCGATTCTGAAAGTTCGGTGGGAGCAACCGTGAAAGGAAAGAAGCGCTCTCCAAGATGGAATCAGATACTTGTCTAGAGAGCTAATATATTGGGAAGAAAATGTCCATATTACACAGCATTATAGATACTACTTGAAGGAAGCGTCGATGTCCATATTTTCATATAAACTATCAAGTGGAACACAGCAGTCTTATGCCAAACAATCCAACATCTATTCCACCACTGCAAGGGCGGACACCTGAAAGGGACTCTCAGGATCTATTTATGGACTCTTCTATAGTGCAATGCTATGCACATTTATATGACAGCTAAAGTATGTATTCAATGCAGCATTAAGTAACCTCCCATGAGTGTAAGTAATTCCACTTGTGCAACGGGACTGTCCTCCTCTTTCTCCCCCCCCCCCCCGCATGCCCCCTAAAACTGTTCTGGGGATTTCTCCAACCCTCTGGGGCAGATTTGGGGAGAGTGGTGGCACACATGGGGGGAGATGGAGAGACAAGTGTAAATTCTTATGCTGATGAGACAGTTACTTAGCCCTGCACTAGGTACAAGCCTGTGTCGTTATAGATTCAACAGGGCTTATTTCCAGATAAGAGCATAAGATTGTAGCCACAGGCAGATAAATTAGGAATCTGGATGAATTGTTAAAATATAAAATTCTAAACAGCAATTATGAGAACATGACAGATAAAATTTAGAATTAAACAAAGCAAAGATGAATACAACACTAGGAGAACATTCCTAGAAATAGGAATTGAAAGACTTAGGGCATCTACATTTATTTCATTTTTTACCGGATTGTATGAACAACAGGATAACAACCAACTAGTATATCTCATGTAATCCTCTGAATATGCACTAAACTAAGAACTGGTGACTCTAATCAGCTTCCAGAAATATGAAAACAAAATCCAGAGGATACAGGCTATTGTGGATTTACTAAATAAGAAATTAAAAAGCTTCCCCTGAAGACTCTTTGTTCTCTGAGCAATTACCTGATTACTGAAAGTGTGATTATCCTGAACAGACTCATCAATCTCTGTGTGATCTGCCTCAATCACTGCATCTGGATGAAAGAGAGCACCATGCACTGTGTGAACTAATTAAAATCTAAATTCCACTCTTACCTGTATGTTGTATTTGGAATATAAACATCCCTTGCAGGAAACTCCAGGATCTCTCTTGTTGGTCGTACTCTGCTATCAGGGTAAAGTTTGACTTGCAGCAACTCTGGGCGTTAGACAGTAATGCGGGTTTTCTGGGGCTGGAGAAATGTCTATCTTCAATTGAGCTATGAAGAAAAATTAGCAGTATAACCAATCTGGTAAGCAACCATTTGCCTGGCTGCCCATGATAAGTAACAATCATCACCAGGTGGTGAATCAGGAAAACTTTACAAAATATGGTTGTTTTTTCCTTTTAGCCACCAAGTTCTAATGTTGCTTTGCATAGGTAGGCAGGCATCATGATATAGTGACAGTGTTGGGATAATATAGTGTTATCGTTTGTGTGTGTAGTGTTAACATAACAATGTTGCTGCTTAATCACTTAAAAAATATGCAACTTCTAGTTACTAAGTAGAGCTACTGCTTTGGAAAACAAGAAAATAATGTTAACACTCTTCTTTTTATTTATTTATTTTAAAAGCGTGCCTTTAAATATTTTCTTGTTCTGCATTAAAAAAGTAAGTTTCGCTCTTTCTGAAAGACCACTTGCTCGTGTATGTTTTAATAGGAAAACAGGTAGCTGCCTTATGTCGAGTCTGATCACCAGTCCATTAGCAGCCTGTCTGATCACTGGTCTATCTAGCAGCCTGCCACAGCCAGGTGCTAAGTCAGGAAGAAGAGCAGAAATAACTTTCCAAGATCAACACCCATCCTTGTGTCAGAAGGTTAGTAAAATTGTTTTAAGATCTGATCAGTTTGGGGGCTTTACTTGTAACACCTATTTGAGTTTAATAGTCAAAAGGCAAGAAAGTAAATATTCACAATTCTTTTCCAAAAGAAGGAATTTGGCGTGATAGCAAACAATATACTGGAAGGTTAGGATTGTCAATCCCCAGAAGGGGTTTTACTTGCTTAAGGCACTGTTGGAAAAATAACTGCTGCTATCAAGAATGACTCATAAGGCCTCTCAGACTTTGTTCCTCCTGGGGGCCGAAATCTGTCATTCAGATAAAAAAAAA